TACACATCACAGCAGACTTAACTTTCCCTCACGCCTGTGACCAAAATCACTGCGCCACACAGAAAGATTTATGAATTATAAAGAGTATGTATTGGCAGCAAACAGCAACTATAAGAATTAATAACCGTTTGAGAACATGTCAGAGCATATAGAGGGAAGTACGACAACGATGTGTACTATCACCTGATTTGTTTCCACCACACAGCGAATATATAATGAGATATATCATGGATACGTCGGGAGTTGTGGCTTGTGGTCATAACACAGTCTGCTGCATTATGCTGATGACAATGTCCTGACAGCAATTTAAGTCAGAAAGAACTATATGAAATGATAAATACGCTGGCGGTTGAAAGAGCACCAATGGCTACTGTCATTCCGTGTCTATGTAGAAGTTATTTAATGTAATCGATCCATATCTCTTAGGACTGTGACTTGCTTTCACCTCAGATCTTTTCATGTGTAACGCATGCATTTGTAGTTGTTCTGGCTGCATTCTTATTGAATGGCCAGGCCATTTAATCTTCTGTCCCTTAACGAATTTGCTGCACGGTATTGTTCCTACAGACTATCTGATTATATCATTTCTAGCTTTGAGTTTATGTTGGCGGTTTTCCTCAGGCATCTAATTTCACAGGTGTTAATAATTGTACGTAGGTTAGTCTTTGATAATGTCCAAGTCTGGCACTGGTAGCACAGCGTTGGTATGTTTATGCTGTTTATAATCTGTTTCTTGGCACTCATACTTATGTTTGGATGTCTTAATAATGGTTTCAGTTGGTATATAAGTGCACTGGCTCGTTGGTATCTTGTTTTTATTTCCCGATTTATTCTTTCATCCTCCGAGATTATGCTTCCTAGAATTGATTGGACGACTAAAAAGAGAAACCCAGATGTTTTGAATGAGGCTAGGGTTTGAAGACAACTTATGACAAACATCAGAAAGAGACAGTCATCATTTTTAGTCATGTTATGAGAAGAGGGAAACTGGCCCATTTTGTGACTGTTGCAAAGATCTGTGGAAAGAGAGACTGGGGAAGACAGTGCGAGAAGATTCTTGGCAGCCTTCTGTCATGGCATGAAGGGGTGTCAACACTTGAACTGATACCTGCAGTTGCAGGTCGCATTTTGCGGAGAGGCATGATCGTCTACGTCAGTCGGCAAGGCTGATGAGACCAAAACTAAATTTTCTTTAACGTTAGATTCATTCATTCATTCAGTAGCATGTCCCTCGCGGAACCTCGCTGCCATAACAACCCTCCGGAAAACCTTCCTATCCTGAGCAAGATGTCCTGCGTCTGATACACCCATCTGGAGATCATCTGCCACATCCTGCACCCATCTTCTCCTTGGCCTTCCTCTTCCTCTCTTCCCAGGCATATACCCCTCCATTATTGTTCTCTCTAGACTTCCATGACGTTTCAAGTGACCAAAATATTTCAATTTTCTTTGTTTTATTGTCTTTACTAGCCAACCCTCTTCAATATTCAGCTCTTGAAGTATGGATGCATTTGTTCTTTTCTTTACCCAAGATATTCTTAGAACCTGTCTGTAACATTTATATTTAAATGCATTTATGCGCTGTTCCGCTTGTTTAGTAAGTGTCCAGGTCTCACAGGCGTATGTTGCAATGGGAAAGATGCATGCTCTTAAAAATCTGACCTTTGTAATTCTATCTGTACAATTCCATAATTTATTCAGTTGTTTTAGTCTTTGAAGAGCAATTGATAGTCGCCGTTTAATTTCTTTCATTGAGTCACCATTGTTGGTAACCAGTGACCCAAGATATTCGAAATTTTCCACCACTTCCAATCTTTCCTCATTAACATATATTTCCTTCTCCATGGCAGTTTTGTTTGTATGCATTATCTTTGTTTTTGCTATGTTAAGAAATAAGTTATGATTTTCACTATTTCTTTGGAGTGAGGTTAATAAGTTTTCTAAACCATTTTGTGATGTTGATAGTAATACTGTATCATCAGCATAACGAATTTCTGGTATTTCATGACCACCGATGTTTAGGGCATCATATTGTTCCTTGTTTATATCATCTCTTACATTTCTCATTATATTTTCGGCGTACAGGTTGAACAAATACGGTGACAGCACACATCCCTGACGGACTCCTTGCTTGATGCCAAACCAGTCTGATGTCTCTCCATCTATTCTGACTGCTGCTTGTTGGTCTTGATAGAGCATTTTAATGAGCTGCACTATATGTGATGGAAAGCCCATATTCCTCATGATTTCCCAAAGCTTCTGATGTTGTACACAGTCAAATGCTTTTGAATAATCCACAAAACATAAGAACAGACCCCCGTGTGGGTTCCGGGGCCCTATTGTGGGGAAAACAAGAATAGACCCACTGCCTCCCCAAAAGCATGTCGTAAGAGTCGACTAACTGGGGAACTTCCTTTGAAGTCGGAGTGCATCTGCCTGAGAGGTGAGGAACCAACAGTCTGCATTCAATTGAATCAGATCTGTAAAACTGATGCACACGCAACACTCATGTTCTGGAGCATGGCTGCAGTCCAGAAGTGGATGAGCAACCAGAACTTTACGCCAGAGTGTACAGCTGGTGAACGCGAAGAAGAAGAAGAAGATAAGAACAGATTTACATTAAATTCTCTACACTTCTCTATTATTAAACGCATGTTGAATATATGATCTAACGTTAGATGGACAAGCCAAATTACAAGAAATTTGCTAAATCTGGATAAAGGAGTCGTCACTTGACCCGGAAGTTTATGTTTATTGTATAAAACTTAAAAGGTTACTTACAAATGAAACAAACAGAGCAGACAAGCTGGCTCTACGTGGGAATGACAGACGTGATAACTTTGAGGCCACTAAAAAAAAAAACGTGATAATTCATTTAACACTTATTCACTGGAAATAACTGAAGTCGAGATAAGATAATTCATTAAACAGTATAACAATTAGCATGTGATAATCTTGACAATTTAATCAGTGGTTGGAACCTCTTCTACCGTGTCCATTGCTGCCGAAAGAAAGTCATGAAAGTGAGTCAAAGTCTACTTACTTCACTTGAAATACTTCACTTCCAGGTACTAAGACCACTAAACATAAACCAAACCAATGTTCTTCTCTTCCTGCTAGGTTTTATCTGCTGTTTCATTGTCTTCGTCGTATATCTCCAGACGTCACTTTTAGTATACAGTTATATTCGATTGTCTATGTAATTAAGACGACAGGCATGGAGAAATATGGGCTATCCTCTGAATAATAACGGTCCTAAATTATCGAGTCGGAAAATATACCTTAACAGGGCCTCAGTCACGTGTCAATTGCGCACTTCTGTCGTCTTAAATTGAGAACTTCCGCCACCGCCGAGAGTATCCCCACGACGCTCACACGGCGTGGATTGGGGGTAAATTAGATGGCTGGCACTCACGAGCAGCAGCTACCGCATCTGCAGCTTCCTTCATTTTATTTTCTTGTGTCCTAGCCATCTAGTTTAGCCCTAATCCACGCCGCTCATGCTGCGTGGGGGATACTCTCAGCGGTGGTAGAAGTCGCAGGAAGTTCGCAATTATGCGGTGGTGTTATAACATGAGGTATATTTTCCGCCTCGATAATTTAGGACCGTTATTCGTAGGATAGCCGAAATATGAAATATCAGATCATCAGTAGAGACTGAACTAGATCACCACAGACCGAGCTTTATGTAGGGATGCTAGTGAAGTTTTAATTTTATCTATTGGGTTTTTAACTTATGCAACTACATGCAACTGAGTTTAAATATCTTGGAACAACATTCCCTGAAGATGGTAAATAAATTGGACGAAGACGTTGACATCTGATACTGTAAAGCAGGACAAGTACTGGGACAGCTAGCTCCCTCCTACAGCATAAGGCAATCCCAGTCAGCACAAAGAAAGATATCACTATATTCATTCCCACTCTATGCTATTAGTGCCAGATATGGTCACTCACAACAAAACATAAAAGAAAATTAGTAACTTAACTGTGGAAATGTGGTGTTTAAGAAAAGAGATCAGGAATGAGATCAGATAAAAATTGCCAAAGTGACATTATCAACAGCTGATAATTATGATAGATGCTTTAAAAAAAAATGCTTCAGTGGTTGTAGGTTTGAAAAATATCAATCTTATATCAGTAGTAGCATAGAAGGCATTTGAACTTAATTACCAAATATTACTAGTCAGTGTGGCCACATTTAGTAAAACTCATGATATGGGTTTGGTAGTGATCAGATAAACATTGTTCAGACTGGTTATGAGGCATGTAATCAGAGGGTCTGGCCGGCTCACTACAGTCAGAGGAAAGGCAAGACGAACATAAAACCAGATTGTGACCGGTACCATCAATATTGGAACTCTGCGCTGGCTGCTGAAGGTGAAGACAGAGCACACATGGGAAATCCCCGAGTGCGGTGATGTCGATTCTTGACTTAACTCAACATTTTAGATTGGTATGTCATCAACCTAAAATTATGATTGATGCACTGAAAATTGCTAAAGTGGCTGTAGATTTTAAAAATGTCTGTCAAATAATGGTAATCACCCTGCTGTGATATGAGATTAATAATTATTATAAAAGTTTGCACTGGCCAAGGCTGTCATAATGGGAGGAAGATGGAAGGCTTAGTAAAAAAAACTGACCTTTAAAATCTTTTAAGTCATGTAAAATTTAAAAAATGTAATCAAACATTTTAATTTTTTAGGGAAATTAAATCTGCATGAATGCCTCTGTCTTCTGGCAAAGCAAATCTTGATTATGATTATACATTTGTGTGTATAGTTATCTGTTCTATGTGGGTGTATAGTTTTCTTAAGATACATCTTAGTGTACTGTTGAGCAGATACATCTGTTAACTTCAGTTTTCAAATGTTTCATGAAATTAGTTTTATGATTCTGTAGGTTTTCATTTGTGAAATTTTTGAACATTTAACAGGCTGTTTCGGCTGCTGTAAATACAAGCATATGGTGTAGATTAGACAGTTAAGATAATTGAAATGAAACAAGTGGGTCGATGTGGAAGACGCCGCAGATCTGTTCGACAGAACAGAATTCAGCAAGGTAAGAGTTATTATTAATATATCACTCCCTGTGTGGATTCTGGAGCCCCCTTTTGGGGGAAAAAGTATAGACCCACTGTACTATATTACAAGCAAGTCCTAAAAGGTTTTTATCTTATTAGGGGTGTTTCCTTCCAAGTCCGAGTGGGTCTGCCTGTGTGGCGAGAAGCCAGCAGTCTGCATACAGATAAGCCAGATCTGTAAAACAAATATGCATGCAAAGCTTTTGTTCTGGAACAAGATCAAATAAGTGGACAAACAACCAGAAATTTCCACCAGAGTTACAGTTGACAATGCTGATAAGAAGAGGAAAAGTATTGTTACATATTCTGTATTCTGCGTCCTCATCATTTAGTATTACCTCTGCAGAACATCGCTTTCAGCACAACTCATTGGAAAGATTGTCTATTTTCAATTCCTCAACTCCTTTGGATATTTTCTCCAGGGCACACAGGGGTTTAGAGAAATAAACAAAGAGACAAATTGGTTACTTCTGCACCACTTGGTGGTAAACTGATTTATGACAAGCTAGATGTTATCAAGGCCACTTGGGAGCAAGTAAATATTGTGGAGACAGATAGATCATCACAGGGGGAAGGGAATAGTGCAGTGGGGGAGTGACCAGAGGATCTGGCTAACATTTTGAGGCAAGGCAAGATGGACATATGGTCAGACTGCTACTGGTACCTTAGAACTGGAACTTTGTGCCAGATTCTGAAGATGGGAATAGAGATATTATTGGAAAATCCTGAGTGCTATGATGGCAGTTCTTAACTTAATATAATTGCCTTACTTTTGTATTTTCATGTACAAGGTGTCTCTACTATCATTTGTCTGTCTTTATGTACATATAAAAAGTGTAATAAAGATATCAGTGGTTTGGACATCTAACAAGAATGCCCTGGTACTATCTGCCACAGCGAGTCACACTAAAACGTTACAACGGATATAGAGCGAGTGGAAGACCCCAAAAAATATGGAGTGATGGCATTAAGAACAGCCTCTCAGAAATTAACATCAGTCTTAATAGTGCTCTTGACAGAGCTCATCAACGAACATTACATCTCCCCCCGACACTTCGATGAGGTACAAGGGGGAAGAGAAGAAAAAGAAGAAGAATAAAGATATCTTGAAACTACTTGTGTGAGTCATGGGCTATCTAGCGGTTGTTAATGTGGGTTCTAGGTCCCAACTGTGTGGAAAAACAAGAACATACCTACTGCTTCCCCAACAAGCATGTTGTAAGAGTGGACTAATTGGGGGCTTCCTTCAAAGTTTGAGTGCATTTGACTGAGCAGCAAGGAATCAATGGTCAGCGTACAGATGTCAGATCTGTAAAATGGATGTGCATACAACACTTAGGATATGGAACAAGACTAAAGTTCTGAAGTGGGCGAACAACCAGAACTTTCTGCTAGAGTTTACAGCCGCTAAACGGGAAGAAGAAGATTAAGGAAGAAAATGCAGGCTTTTGAGCAGAAATGCTATTTAAAGATTCTAAGAATACCATAAATAAACAAAAAAGAAAAGAAATACTGACATCCTAAGAGATTTGAACATCAAGGAAGATTGGCTAGTAAGCAACATCTTATCTTGGAAACTGAAATATTTTGACCGCATCGATCACCAGGATGGATTGGAGAACATAATAGCAGAAGGCATGGTATCATGAAAGATGGGCGGGTGCCGACCAGCAAGAAGATGGGCACAGGATATAATTATAGTGACATCCAGCAAAGGACCAAAAAACATGATGATGAAGATGATGAGGAAACTGATTATTAGAAGAAGACAATCTACATTCTTTGGTCATATTTTAGAAGAGGAAACTGCAGTACATTGTGACACTGAGAAAGTTTGAAGGGAAGAGAGGTGGAGAGAAACTGAGAGATTATATGCTGGACAGTTTGACATCATAACACAGTGGGTCATCAAGTGTCAGAAATGATTTAAAGTACAAGAGTCGGAAGGCTGTAGAAAGACATCACTACCAACACTGTATGGTGTTTACTGTAAGAAGAAATGTTTGTGAGGCATCTTTAGCCTGGAACAATGCTTTTCCAGTATTATTTTTTTAACACCACAAGTTTAAGCCTATGATCGTTGCTGTTTTACTCTTTTCTGATCTTTTCATGGATATAACATTTTTCCTGTTTTTACTGTAGGCCTACTTTCTACAAGTTTTCAACTGTACTTGTTATACAGTTAGACCCCAGTGGTTTTCTTCAAAAACTATATTAGTGCAATAGACAGTTATTTAAAAAAAAACATTTTCATATGTCCAGGTAAACAGAGCTAAGAGTTTCTGAAGCAACTGAGCGTGATTACTGGCTTCACATTAACGATCCAAAATATTGTTTGGTCTGTAAGTAACAGTGGAACCTACCATGCAGGTCATAGGAGGTTACTGTGAAGGCATTTACATGATCTCCTTTGCTGCCAGTCTGCTATTTTTTCTGTCCATGGTACCTCATGTCAGTTTACATTCCTTTGGTTCCTTTTCTACAGTCCTCCATGTTTCCGTAGGTCCTCCCCATCTCATTTTTCTATGTACCATGCATCAGAGAGCTGTCCTTGCGAAAGTGCCACGAGGTATTCTGCAAAACCTATCCAAACCATCTCCATTTTCCTCCATTGATAACATTTGCCTGTGATAAATATTTTGTTTTCCTTCTCAGTTCTTTATTTGTGATCTCGTTTGGCAAAAGTATCCACTGGCTTTTCATAAACATTTATTCTGAAATATACTCCATTGGGAGATAAGAAAAATAAGAAGCTGATTAATAATGTGCTAGTTTACAATAAAAATGTCTGCTCTCAGGAGTCTCACAGTCACACCAGCCAGTATATGTGAAGCTCCTGCAGTGGATGAAGGAGAATGTGGGTAACAGTCAGTGGAAGTCAAGTGTCTGGCAATGCTTGGAGCCTGCCTACTTTAAAGGTTAGTAAAAGTTCATGCGTGAGCTATTTTATCATAGTGGTTAGAGTTCTTGCTCGGCAGCACAGTAGTTTGGGTTCAATCTACATGAGTGATAGGGAGATTTTGTTCTGACCAGGAAATGAACTGGCAAGTAAAGATTGTCACTGGATGTTGACTTAACCCCTATTTGGTGCTGATGGGCCTATAAGAATATAATGCTTCCGACTTATACTCAATACTTCCAGTGTTGGTTCCAGGGCCACATTGGGGGGAGGGGGGGGGGATAGATTGGCTGCCCCCATAACAAGCATGTAATCTTCTTCTTAGCATTTAAGATTTGTAAACTCTGGCATAAAGTTCTGATTGTTTGTCCATCCATTTGTAAACTGTATTCTTGTTCCTTAACTTGGGATTTGTGAGCGTATTTGCTTTACTGGTCTGGCCTAGTTGTATGCAGGTTGTGTGTTCCTTGCCTCAGGCAGATTGACTTTGAAGGAAACACCCCCAATTAGTTGCTTATTACAACATGCTTGTTACGGGACAATTGACCTACCCCCCCCCCCCCCCCCCCCTTTTCCCCCCCTCCCTAAAAAAACTAATCTGGGAAAACCATGTCAGTCAAGACAACTAATTAACAGTTTGCTTAAAGCGAATATTGTGCCCAAAAAGTGTGGATATCACAGTTTAGTTGTAAACAAACAACACATCATGCTAATGGCCTTTTTAAGGGTGAATGCTGAATGAAGAAGAACTGATAACCTAAAAAATGTCACTTGTTTCTCATACATTGAACTCCGTACGTAGTACGTATTATTGGTTTATTTCATACTGAATTAGCTGTATATAGTTTTGCAGCAAATTTTTTTAACATTCTCAGCATGTTGTTTCATTTACCATCACTGTTCTCTCACACAGTGTACTAACTGCATTTTTTAAAATTTTGTTTCATTCTACCTTAGATACTGGAAGAGGGTTGAGAGCTAGAAAGAACATTTACCCAGGGGAGACAATCATTTCTATACCACAACAACTTCTGGTAACAGTTAGAACAGTTTTTGACAGTGATATAGGAGCTGTAATATTCAGGTACGAACGAACCAACTTTATTTTCAAAGGGTTACAAATTAGGCACGCAGGCCTGTCTTACATTCGGCCCTTCCAAACTTCCATCTTTCACACAGCAGTTGTATTGCATCAATGAAGCATGTTATATTCATGTAATGATATGCATATTATGGATATGAAGTCAAAAACACACTCACCCACATACACACACAAGCCTAATCACTCACTTACACACAAACACATAGGCACCCAGTACACACATACATCCACACACACACGAACATGCACACACACATACATACGTACGTACGTACGTACGTACATACATACAAACTCACATACATACATACAAAAAAACATACATACATACATACAAAAAAACATACATACATACAAAAAAACATACATACATACACACACATACACACGCTCTAAAACACACTTGCAAACAACTCAGACACATACAGACACACACACACATGCAGTCACTGGAACACACAACACATACACACACAAAAGCAGGGAAACAGACACACACATAGACATACGCAACACCCACACATACACAGATATACACACACAGACACGCACAGTCACACATACGCAGACATACACGCAGACGCATAACCCGACACAAGCAGAGACACGCAGACATTATATAATAGACAATAGGTAGGTAGGTAGATAGATAGATAGGTAGGTAGATCAAACGAACAAACTTTATTTTCAAAGGGTAGTTGTTTTGTGTTATTTCGTTTTCTGATTTGCCCAACTACTTGCTAGGTTTCCACTCAATCTTTTGGAAGTATGAGGCTATTGGTTGGTTGTAAGACACCTGGGAGATCTGAGTTCTAACTTTTGTTAATAGTCACAGTGACAAGGCCCTGAAAATGCATCTTTCAGCATGAGATTTATGTAAGGAAGATTTTTCGCATGACCCAGCACTAAAGTCCCATCTGCACTGAGGATGGGTTGGAGAACTTTTTTTCCCTTGCAGGAACCAGCAGGATGTGTAATGTCAGTACTTAATCTTCATATCTGCAGAGAGCCTTGGTGATTCTTGGTGTGGGCGACTGGGAATCCAGTCTGTGGGTAGGCTGCACCATAGAGATGTGCTGCAGAGATTTTGTCTGTGTAATCCCTGATCTTGCTTCCTGTGCAGTCTGTATGAGGGTTTTAAAAATAATAAAAGAAACCAACTTTTTGGAGTCTGATCCGGCTTCTGTTTCTTTTTCTTCTGCCCTTTTACCTCTAAGTGAAGAATAGACCCTCAGCCAACTCATGCCAACTCAGCCTATCTGTTGCTGTCACATGCAGCTCACCCCATCTTTTCCAATTTGTTTTAAACTCAATTTTCTAGTTGCTTTCTCCATGTGCTCTTCGGTCTAACTTTATTTCTGTGCCCTTGTGGGTTCCAGTTTAAAGCCATTCTAGTTAAATTATTCTCAGGTTTTCTCTTTGTGTCCTATCCGGTGCCAGCATTTTTTCCTCACCTCCTGATTTCAACTAGAAATGTGGTTTAACAGAAGAATGCTTGGAGTGCCAGAAAGAGTAACCCAGGTGTTCTGAAACAGGTGAGGGCCAGGTTTACTGATTTTGATCACAGACATCTGAAGGAAACATTATCATTTTTTGCCAGGTTGTGAGAAGAGGGAAACTGGAGAATCCTGTGACCACTGGAAATATTTGTGGAAAGAGAGAAAGAGGAATACATCAGGAGAAGATTTTTGACAGTCTTTTGTCATGTCATGGTGTCAGCACATGAGCTGATGAATGATGTTGAAAATCGCTGGTTATGAAGAGGCATATCACCCAAACCAGTCAGCAAGATACTTGATGATGATGATGGTCATGATGACCCTAACTAACCCATCCAGAAGAGCCACAGATGGTTAAGTCCCTAGGATATCAGGCTAGCTGTTCGTGGCGCTCTGGTTATAATTTTTATGAATTTGAATGGGGAAAGTGGGATTTGTCTAGCTGGATTGACATCCAGGATGATGCTCATTAGATCTTTAGGGTTTCAAACCTTCGCGAGGTAACCTGGTGTGGAAAAATAAGTCAGTTGTCATAGATACAAAGTCACTGTCATGAAGAAAGGCAAAAACAGTGCAGTACTAGAATACTGAAAATCAGTAGTACTCCATTGACTGTATTTTGAATTTGTAGTTGTTTTCCCTGTAAGAGTTTGGGAGCATCATTGGTGGGAGGGGGAGGGGGGGGGGAGGAGGAAGGGACCAACTGCCTCTCTGACAAACATGTCGAAAAAGCTGACTAATTAGTGGTTTGCCTAAATTTGATGTTTTTGGATGGAAGGCACAGATATGACAGCCTATATGTAAACCACAATACAAGGTTCCATCCTCCCTTTTAAGGATAAACACATAAAAAGAATTTATAGTTGTTTTGTTTTGTTTGTTTACAGGGAGAAAGAGAAGTGGACACCACAACAATTATTAACCATATTTTTGGTAATTGAACGCCATCGAGGAGACATGTCGCCATGGTTTCCTTATATCAATTCACTACCAGACGAATACAGCACACCTCTGTACTTCTCTGCCTCCGAAATGGAATTAATGACTCCGTATGTTCGCAGTTTGGCAGAGCTGACACAAGAGAGGTACAACTGATATTTTAATATTGGAATTTTATATCACTGTTATTATGAAAACACCATAGACCTAGGAAGGCTTACCCAGTCAGCTGTTTTTTTTTTGGGGGGGGGGGGGGGGGGGGGGGGGGGGGGGCTACACCGACTGTAAACCATAGTTTTGGTTCTTCATCTTCTTCTGGACATTAGTCTTGTTCCAGAACTTGAGTTTTGCAGACACATCCATTTGATAAATCTGGCTTATTTGTTTGAACTATGTTGACCGCATTACCCACCTAGTGCCGATTGGTCTGTAAAAATATGGGTGCTCGTCCCATATGCACGTTGCACCTAAAGGTTTGAAAAGGGATCTTTACTTTACTGTTGGTTCCTCACCTGCCAGTCAGATGCACTCTGATTTAGAAAAAAAAAACCAATTAGTGGACGCTTACACTGTGCATGTTAGGGAGGTAGGATCTGTTCCTTTTTCCCCACAGCGGGAACCAGAAACTCACATAGGGAGCATAGAATCCATGAGGTAACAGGGGAAAAAAAGACATGAAAAAAACGCAAGTAGAGTAAAATGAAAAATGAGAAGGACACAGGGTGGGCTGCCTGCAGTGTCGAAGGATGTCTTGGCACAACTTAATTGAGGCCCTATGCTCCATTGGGAGGTGAAGGGTAGAAGAAGTAATTCCTATTCTTTGTCTTTTTTTTTTTTTTTCAGATTCAGCAAGGCTTTTACAAAAATTAGAACATTTGTCATGAACTGTGCTGCATCTTACGAGCACATGTTCAGGGAATCAGATGTTAGATGGGCGTGGTCAACAGTTAACACACGATCCGTCTACCTTCAGACTGATCCTCACCCAGTGCTGATCCTTGATCCTGAGGAGAGCCATCTGGCTCTGGCTCCATTTTTGGACTTGCTTAATCACAGCGATTGCTCACAGGTATTGAGTTAGTGGTGAGATTTTATTAGTAAATCATATTTTCCTAGATTTTAACTCTTTCATCACCTAGCTGATTAGTGAGAAATTTGGGTTTTAAGGGTGCTCATTTAACTGATATTGGATCAAATCTGATACAGTCTTTGTTTTTTTTAAATATTTTTGTTTAATTGTCTTTTTCTGCTGTGTTCTGTGAGCTTCCGTGGTCTGGTAGCTTCCGTGGTCTGGTAGCTTCCGTAGACTGGTAGCATCCGTGGTCTGGTAGCTAGACACTTGTTTGCGGATCAGAAGGTTGTGGGTTCAGGTCCTGAAAGGGACCGGACTGTTTAGAAATGACCTTGGCTCCCAGGTTGACCCAGCCTTTAGTGGGTACCATGTAAAATCCTGGAAAGTAAAGGCGGCTGGCGTGATGCTGACCACATCACCCATCAAGTGCCAGTTGGTCTATAAAATGTAGGTCTAGCCCTGTATGCCCAGTACGCCTGAAGGCGTGGAAACGGGTCCTTTACTTTATTTCTGTGTTCTGCATGTTGTGTTGTGGCTTACAGCTAGGCTGGGATATCTGTGCCTTTCAGCCCAACATGTCTAATTTTAGCGAAGCAACAGTTACCCCCTCCCACAACCCCCTGTGGGCCATGGAACTCAAACGGGTATTTTTCAGTTTAAAAGTCATGAACAACTCTCACGGAGTTGTGTGGCAACTTTGAGCAAGAGCTACCACATGAACAAACTTGTCGCTAGTTGGCACAGGTTTTCACTGTGTTTACATTTATGACAACAGTGGTGGTACAAATTGCTAATTATATTCAGTCATTTATAAATGTTGCACTGTTAAAAATAATAAGTACTCAAAAATGTCTATAGCCATGCAAATTAGAGGAGGACAAGAAAAATGGAAAATAGTAAATTTAAATTTAGCACAAAAGCTTGTAGGAAAACATGGAGCCTGACACACCAGAAATGTTTTTTTTTTTTTTAAACAATATTTACATTTTATGAACAGCTATTACACAAACAGTTCTACTGCCTATATCTTATTCATGAAATGTAACACTTTGTCAAAACACTTTGTCATTTTTTTTTAAAAGTTTGATGAGAAAACAAAATCTGTAGCTAAAAACACTCCTGTGCACTTTCATTTTAAATGGGTAGGGCAGGGAAGAATGGAGAAGAGAATCTTACTAATTCAGATATGTAGCAGAAGTAGTGAAAGCTGGGGGGGGGGGGGGGGAGAATAAAGCCGATCCCAGAGATGCTACAATCTGGACAACACCAGGAGATGACAAGCGCTCAGGAATTCGACTTGACAGGATTTTGGTTATTTATGCAGTCTTGGCTCGCGCTTAGAAAAAGCACTCCGCCTGTCTAGACAGACAGCAGACACAGCAAACTCTGGGAGGTCCTGAACTCAGCCGCTGTCTTCTTTCTTTTTTAACAGTCGTGTTTGAACACTGTAATATTTGCTTGTGCTGCATTGTAAGTATTTGTGTTCATGTTACTACAGGTGTTGCCGTTTGTTGGTATATATATATGTATAATTGTGTGGATCAACAGGAAATCTCATAGGCAAATAGGTTCTTTTTCTGTTTACCGAATACATCATGTGAGATTTGTCAAACAGAAAAGAACTGGGAAATATTACATATTTTCTAATATTTGTATTCAACTGTCAGTAAAGATATAGTATGTAATTTATATCAGGATAAACAATAACATCTTCAAATCGTATTAACTTAAAGGATAGACACATGTCAAATTATCAGATTTCTCCCACCTACCACAAAATAAATGAAAGGGAATATACTCCCATTTATATTCCAAGCCTATATATTAAGAGAAAGAGAAAGAAAGAAAGAAAAGGAGATACTGGGAAAATGGAAGAGAATATAATTAGAGACTAAAAAATTATGTCAGAGGGGTACATATCTCCCTAAGTTTAACATATTGTAATCATGATTATCCCTCTATTGAGGAATAGCTGAATTTGCCGCCATTTCGCCTGAATATATGCAGTATGGGCCTGTTGCTTGTTGGGCCACTCTGTGATTAGCCACGAGCGGTCTGCCTGTTTGTTTGCTTTTTGCTAGTGTTTTCATATACAGTGGAACCTCGCTTAACTAGCATAATTAGTTCCAGAATCATACTCGTTAAGCGAAACACTCGTTATGCGAAACAATTTTTCTTATATAAATTAATGTAAAATGCGATAATGCGTTCCATATCGATAAAATACTCACAAAATGCTATGTATAACGTTTATTCAAAGAAAATTATATGCATATTGTTAAGGAGAGTAAATCATCTTCATCTTTTCTTCAAACGCGGAACGAACCAACCTGGAATGTGAATTCGATTTGCAGAAAAAAAAGTCAAAATAATTATGATACATAGATAATAATTTTTTTTTAACTAGAAAGATGTCCAGAGACATTTGTTTTTGCAGATGATTCAAAATCTGGCGAAATTGCGACACATCATTATCATGAAATAAATTTGCAACGCGCATAGCCCCTTCCTTATTAGAGTGAGGCTTCTCAATGTAAGATGCAACAGTTTGCCATGCTATCAGCATTTCTCTTTTTTCGCCAAAAGATTGTTGCTTTTCTGTTACCTCCTCCTCCTCCTCCTCTGACAAACTTTCCTCCAAAACTTCTTGCTGTCAAACACAATGTAACTCCATAAGCTCTTGGGTGGTCAGCTTTTGGCTGTGCTCTTCCACAAGCTCTTCGATATCACTGTTATCCACCTACAATCCCATGATTGTTGCCAAAGACACAATCTCGTTGACTACAGGTTCCACAGGTACTGTCTCGAACCCCTCAAAGTCACAAATCGACAAAGCTCTCCAGACAAAGTTTCTTCTAAGCAGAAGTTAGGGTTCTTTTGGTAACCCCTTCCCCCGCGTTGTCAATCATCTTGAGGCAGGCAATGATGTGGAAGTGATTTTTCCAAAACTCTTTGAGAGTGAGGTTGGCTCCTTAGTCACCTGAAAACAATTTTCAAAGAGTGCAATAGTGTAGAGCTTCTTAAAGTTACAAATAACTTGCTGGTCTATGGGCTGGAGTTTTGGTGTGGTGTTGGGATGCAGAAACTGGATCTTGATGAACTTAAATTCTTCAGATAGATCATCTTGTAGGCCTGGAGGATTCCCGTACATATATCAAAATATAACACAAGTTTGAGAAAATGTGTGATCACAAGCGACACTACGATGCTACTGGAACAAGTGCTAAACACTGATGTAACATGCGCACAATTGGGGACTTTCCCTGTCCTTGCCACTCGTTATGCGAAATGTCGCTCGTTAAGCAAGTCATTTTTTTTACAATTTGTTTTGCTCGTTATGCGAATTACTCGTTATGCGAATTACTCATTAAGCGAGGTTCTACTGTATTTACATTCAACTGTCAGTTAAGATATGGTATGCAGTGTGTATTGGTTAAGTAACAATACATTCAAATCAAATTAACTTAAATAATAGACATATGTTAATAGATTAGTTATGTCTTATATGTGGTTCCAAATAAAGAAAAACAGTACTTTTTAATGTATGTTACTCAGGCTTATATGTGGAGAGAATGTGATATTGGAACATTGCAGCTCAGTAACTACAGTGCGCATTCCCATTTTTCACATGTGATTCAAATTTTTTTTACCAAAGACAACATCTGATTCATCAGGTTCCAACTTTTTCTCTGAATTTTTCTTTGGGAAGCTCAGTGGAAAGAAAGGAAAAGACAAAAACAAATACAAACAAATGTTTCCACCAACCTTTTATCAGTGAACAAAACAACAGAATCATAACCAACCCAAAAGGTCACATAGAACCAGAAATACAAAATAAGGAAAATAATGACAGGAAGATTTTATGTAAGGAAACATAAGAGACAAAAAGTTTAAAAAGTAGATAAAATAGCATGAAATTAAATATGATCCTGTTTAAGTGATACATTTGTATTTTAGTATTGTTTCTGGTGTTTTACTGTTTCAGTTTTTTTTTTTTTATATGATCAGATGTCTGCAGGAATTAATGTGAAATCTAAGACGTATGACATCATAACCCAGGACACCTACAAGAAGAATGAACAAGTGTTTATATGTTATGGCTCGCATGATAACACCAAACTTCTCATCAATTATGGGTTTGCCTTGCCAAACAATGTCAGCAATTCTTATCTGTTTACTTTAGGTGAGTAAATGTTACATTTGACGTGCGTCTGCACAAAAGTTTAAATTGAAGATCAGTTTCATTGCACCAGGTTTAAACCTTTACAACAGTCTCTTTGCAGAGCGGCTTGTCACCAGTCGAGAACATCCCATAAAGCTTGAACTCTGGTCACAGCAATGATCCCCAGGAATTTCCAGAAGAAACATTACATGAGCAACTAGATGCAGAGTTGTAAAGAGGGAGGTGACTGCAGTCGAGCTGATTGCAAGAAATGCTGAATATAACACAAAATGTGACTAGAAAACTCAGCGGAAGGAATTGAAAACAAATTGATGCAACCGTACGTTTCGACCAAAGTCTTTATCAACGGAATACTAAATACAGCACAAATTGTGACTGGAAAAACTCAACGGACAAGACAACAGCTATTTAAAAAAAACAAGGTCAACATGAAACCAAGAAGTACTTAATTTGGGTGGGAATATGAAGGGCTATAATGTAAAACGAAATAAGTATGAAGGAGATTGTAAAAAGAAGGGGAGAAATATGAATAAGTTAAATAAATGAACAAGTAAAGAAATAAATTAAAATAAAGTTGTGTTGAATATTGATCCCTCCAGGACTAATAACATGGATGAAACGTTTCTAATGAGCAGCTTCTGGTTTGAACACCGGAGCAAGATTTAATAACCGTGACTGAGATATCATTTTTGCCTATCCTTTCACTGTACAAATGGAGTGAAATGCTATGTCCACTGTCTGTCAGATGCAAAAATTTGCCTCTACTAAAAACAGTGAACGTTCCTATCCTCCATTTTGACCAGAAGTATAACCTTGTCCCTTCTTGTGTTGTTAGTGACCTTACGGAGACAGCCTACCTATTTCACAGGTAGTTATTTTCTGTTCTAGTGACCTACTTATTCTGATATAATGAGCTCAGTTAACTATCTGCAACTGAAAAGTCAGAATTGTAAAAAATTATTTTGTCTTTGAATGAACCACTGAACGTATGATGACTTGCATGGTATTGAAATAGTTAAAGACCTTCTTCATCTCAATTACACACAAATTATTGATTCAGTCTCATCCTTTTTTTCAGGTCAGATGTTAACAAAAATAGCTTCACAGCAGGCAGCACAATTTCTTCAGAATTGTACAGTTAGATAGGCTAAACACACCCGTCTGTCACCAAGGCCTATAAGGAAAGCAAATAAGGGCAGAAAGAAGATGTGGAAGAAGAAGATGATGAGCAAAGTGTAGAAGATGAAAAAGAGGAAGAAGACGACAGTGCCAGACATCTTTCATAAAATCTTATGGGAAGAAATAATGGCAGAGAAGAGAACTGACCTCCTCGGCTGAGTATGCTGAGGCCTACATCTTGTGATCCTAAAACTTTAACCACAGTACCGTTTTCCACTATAGGACTTTCTTTACCTAGTCTTTTGTTTTCTAGAAAAAAAGGTGCAGATACTCAACATGAAGTAAAGGATGCTAGAATTCACAATAAAGTAAAAGATGTTAGAATTCACCACAAAGTAAAAGATGCTAGAATTCACCACAAAGTAAAAGATGCTAGAATTCACCACAAAGTAAAAGATGCTAGAATTCACCACAAAGTAAAAGATGCTAGAATTCACCACAAAGTAAAAGATGCTAGAATTCACCACAGAGTAAAAGATGCTAGAATTCGCCACAAAGTAAAGGATGCTAAAATTCACCACAAAGTAAAAGATGCTAGAATTCACCACAAAGTAAAGGATGCTAAAATTCACCACAAAGTAAAGGATGCTAGAATTCACCACAAAGTAAAAGATGCTAGAATTCATCACAAAATGTCTAAAAGAGGTGATGGTATTCACCAGAAGGTGTCTATTGCAAGAGTGGTGAAAAAGTGATGCCTTAAAACAAAATAGGTGCCGGTACTACACACCGTTAATATACCACCAGAAACAAGCCCTGCCTTTAACTCTAAAAATAAAGTTGTCTTTGTTTCAGATGACATCGCAGCCATTATTCAAGAGCATTCCCGACATTTAGAGAGAAAACTTGGCATCCTGACTGAAGCTAAACTAGACAAGTAAGTAGATTGTTTTCTCTCACTCTGAGTGTACCAGTCAGTCAGATGCCATCTCCACAGTGAAAGTTGCTTGAGTAAATCTCCAACTCTCTTGTCTTGGTTGTGCACTATCTCAGATTGCCTTTTGTCCTTCTCTTGAAGTTTTTCTCCCACATAGAACGTTGCTACCTCTTGCTCTCAACTTTTCCCTCCAGTACTATAAAAAAAAATAGTGATATGTCTTTTATTGTGTAGAATATTTCAGTTTTCTTTTTATTTTAATTTCTTTCAGTACTTTTTAATTTTCTTTCTTTCAGTAACTCTCTTTTCGTTTGTTCCCAATCTCTTCATAACCTCAGAATGTAGCAGTGAAGTAATTAAAGACGTCAAGGATCTCTTTCATTGTGTGTTAGCCTACTAAGTCCTATAGAGGAAGCAAAGAATAGTAAACTATCATGCATGTCATAAAAAAATTACAAATGAGGGTTGGTGTGGCCAGCTATCTGATTCTGTAGAAAATGTTTGCTCAGAATCCAACAACTCATGAACTAGTCTACAAGGGCTTGGTGTGAGTTGTTTTAACAATATTGCCTAGAGAAAGTCTGTTTTCTGACTTTTATTGGGTTGATGACATGACATCATTGGTCAGTGACCAGTAGTACACCTGTGTAACAATTTTGGTACTGGTTGCAGCTGCATTGTGGGTAGACATGGTAGGTATGATTATATTTAAAGAACACAATTTGTGAAATATTCATTGGGGTTTATGAAATACAAATCAAATTTTTTGTGTGGGTATATTGTGGTATTACAACATACTTATCTTCACCGGCTGTAAGCTCCAACAGAAAGTTCTTGTTATTTGTCCATCTCTGGACTAGTTCCAGAACCTGAGTGTTGGATGCACATCTATTTTACAGATCTGGCTTATTTGTGTGCAGACTGTTGGTTCCTCCTACGAGATGCTTGTTGGGAAGAGAGGGGTCTGTTCTTGTTTTCCTCAAAATGGTGCCCTGGAACCCACATAGACGTATGAATACATTACTGTGCTCTCTGTTGCGGTATCAATGAAACTCCTGTTTTTTGGGTCAAAGGAAAGGAAAGCTGTTTTTTTTTTTTGGGCCCCATTTGTATGTAATAATTGCTTCCCTTCATATATAAAAAAAAATCACCTTTGTGCAAAATAATGACTTTAATTTTGAAAAATGCATCTTTTATGACTTGAGGGGCTGCAAGACACAATAACTGGCAGGTTTGTCTGTCAGCTGAGTGGTCCAGGGTTTCGACTCCCTGGATTTTTATAAAAACTGACCAAGACCAACTTTCTTTAGCTTCTTCTTCTTCTCTTCCTCTAATTTCTTAGGTTCTAATTTCAGAGAATTATAATGATGCGTTTCTTTTGTAACAAAATTATGAACAAGGTCATTTTAAAGATTTTTACGGGGCAAAAGGATTAAGGGTCTAAGCTCTCTCCATTGAGATGTGAAAGACAAAGAAGAAAGGTCACTTCTTCTCTTCATGAGATGTGAGTATTATAGTGCTGTAGCAGTTGACACTTGACGGGTGAGTTGGTTGAAGGTCTCTGTTCCATTGGGAGATGCAGAGCAGCAAAACAGCAAGGATTTAATTAATTTAAAAGTAAAAGCAGTGAAGTCAGTCAATAACTTATAGAAACAAATTGCCTATAATTGTCATATATCAAAGTTGCTTATTTGTATATCAACAGGAACCTGGTATGTAATGTTGATGGGATATCCTGGTCGTTGATGACTTCACTGAAAATAGCAGCTCTGCCGTGGGAACACTTGTGAGTATATTCCTTGCTTCTTGATCTTAATGTTCGCTGTAGTTTTATTTAACTATTAATCACTTCATGTGCTAAATTCAAGAAACATAGGCAATCATGTTTCACCATCTCTTACGATCACAAGCGTCACAGATCAGGTCATTATTTTTGACCGGACCAAACCATCCACCTCCCCCCTTCTCAGCGACATAGCAAATGCCTAAACATATTACACATCCCTAAACCTAGAATAGACTTGTTCAAAACAAGCTTGACGTACTCTGCAGCTCATCTGTGGAACCAACTTTCACAACCAATCAAAAACATCAAACCCCCCCCCCCCCCCCCTCATAAATACAATTGGAAGCTTTTTGAATATTATCTCACTTCAGACTACATGCCCCCTTAGAAGATAGTTTCCTAAGGATACTGTTGATTTCCACCAAGATTTATTATATTTAGTATTTTAATTGTTTTAAAATGTAGGCATACTTAGAGTACATTGTTACAAAGATGTTGATGATGCCTATTAATATTATTATTATTACTATCTGCTAAAACAATGTGTGCATAAATAATGTATGCATGGCGTGAGGCCAGAAGGGCAGAATGTAAGATGGGCCTGTGTGCCCAATTCTTAACCCTTTAAAAATAAAGTTTGTTCGTTCGTTCGTTCCTTGTATGCTAATTTTCCATTAATCTCTGCCAGTTGTCATCAAGCTTGTGAGTGCGTTCCTTCTCATGACAAAACCCCCCCCCCCCCCCCCCCCCCCCGCCCAAATACTGTCTATCAATGTCTAATTTCTAAAATCAGTGTATGCATTTAATCTGTCTTAAGGAGACCTGAATTATTTGTTTTTCTGTCATTCTGTAGTATTTAATGGTTAAAGGTCCCATTTCTACCCTTTAGACACATAGTTTTACAAGTCATCAAAGAAAACAAAAAAAGTTGTTTGGGCACCTAACAAGAATGCCCTGGTACTATCTGCAGCAGCAAGCCACACTAAAACGTTACAATGGGTCTAGAGCAAGTGGAAGACCTCGGAAAATATGGAGTGATGGCATTAATGACAGCCTTACAAGAATTAACATCAGTCTTAATAGTACTTTTGACAGAGCTCATTAACGAATGTTACATCTCCCCCAACACTTCACTGAGGTACAAGGTGGAAGAGAAGAAGAAGATTGCATATAGCGATAGTCCCATGTTTTTGGTAGGCCTATCGGCACTTATTGCTTCTTTTTCTGCATTCACCAACAAAAGGGGATTGGCATATTGTGTTGTGGTTTACAGCATGGCTATGATATCTGCACCTTTCAGCCAACATATAGCATTTTAGAAAAATGGCTATTCATTGAATATTGCGGTCATTATCACACTGGCCATCTTCACTTACAGGACAGTTTCCAGTATCTATTTTAGAGCCCATGTTAGTTGTTTCCTTAAAACTCCACCTCATTAGGAATTTGAACCTATGACAGCCCCCAACCCTACCTTGAGTCATAGCATACGAAAGGGTTGCATTATTTCATTCAGCTGGCACCTTTAGTATGGGAACTCTGTTGGCAACTGAGGAAGGAGATGGAGCATGTATGGGAATGCCCCAAGTGTAGTGATGTCAATTTTTTATTCATTCATCATTAATATTCTAATGGTTTTTGTAAAACATGGACAGTTGAACTATTACTAGGTTTATAATATTATTTTCTTCTGTTGCTTGTCTGTCATTCATGCCTTTATGTTTATTCACTCTTTTATTCCCTTACACCACCTTCCTTGAAGTTCTGTGCCAGCCGTCACATCCATCTCTTCTAGACATTGACCTTTCTCTTATCCTGTCTGTTAAACAGGTCACGATGGAAGTTACTTGTACAGGGGGCGGTTTTATCAGAAGATGTTGAAAAACATGCTCACCAGATGGCATCACAGTTGATTGAATCTGCTTTAATGAAATCAAAAACACATCTACAGTTTGTGGTATGTTAGTTAGTTAGTTAGTTAGTTGGGTTATCGTCATTGCACTCCGGACATGTCCATAGGTGCTCAGATCCTCCCCTCAGTATGAACCCCAACGTCCGATGGCTAATAGTACCAGTTCTATGTTGATTAACAAGTCTTCTGACGTGTCCGGTGTGCGTCTCGTTTTTTGCTGTGCCGATCTTAATTCCCAAGTCTGCCATTCTGGCGAGTGATGTGGATTCACTGCCACCAAAGTCCTCTATCCTTCCCATTTCTCTGAGGGCATTGATAATATCAGCATGATCCATAGGCCGACCGTCGGCAGTGATAGCGGATCCAGCCAACCTGTCAGCTCTTTCATTTCCATCGACGCCTGCGTGTCCCGGAACAAAAATAAAGGTGACTCCACGCACAGTGGACTTCTGTAATGATTCAAGCCATTGTCTTCGCACTGAACCTGCCTGAACCCTCCGGATCATACTCATTGAATCACTGAGTATACATATGCGGGTGTATTTTTGTGTTTCAAGCCAGGCAAACGCTTGCGTCACTGCCATCACCTCCATCGTCATGCTGCTGGTTGTCATGGAGAAGGCACCGTTGGCTTCTTTGACTGTTCTGCCCGCTGAGCGTGCTGTAAATGCCCATGCGCTTCTTCTTTGGCGTATAACGGATCCGTCTGTGTAGATTAGTGCATCTGCTTCGTCTGAATTTTCACCGATGAGAGCGTTGACCTCTGCATTAACAGCAACAGGATTCTCTTCTCTACATCGCCTGTTGAGTGTGACAATACAGGAAAATGTACAAATAAACGCCTGAGGCACAGGTATCCATTCTGCACCAGGTATGATGTCGGTTAGGCTGCATATTGCCTAATAACATCTTCTGCCCGACCTAGCCACGATTTTCCCCTCTTCAGTCTGTCGCCCTTTTCACTAAAAAGCGCTTGATGCAGTGGGTGTTTCTTATCAGCACATATTTTGAGGTATGCCCGAGCCCTCCACATTCTGATCCTTTGGTTCATTGTTGGAAAGTCAAGTAGATACCTCATTGCTTCACAGGATGTGTCTCTTGTACATCCCAAAATAATGCGCATGGCTTCATTTTGCACCTTTTCGAGTCTTTCAATCTGGGTAGCACTGACAGTGAGGATGGCCAGAGCGTATTCAATGGGTGAAAGGACCAGACCGTAGAATAGAAGTATTAGTAGTCTTTGCTCGATATTGGAAGCAGCCATAATCCTCATTGCAGATAGACCTTTGCGTGCTTTTGTTATCACATGGTCAACGTGTTCCCTGAATGACAAGCTGCGATCGAACCTCACCCCTCACCCCGTCATAACGTTGGTTCTGATCAATATATTATCACGCATTTTCACTTCTGGTAAGTCCGACTTGACAATGTGATTGTTCAAAGAGAACCATGACACTGATGCCTTCGAAGGATTGACATAGGCATTGGAACCATCACACCAGGCGGCAATTCGATCGAGTTCTTTGTGCATTGTGCTGGCGATCTCCTGTCTATCACGCCCTCGTCGATAAATCAAAATGTCATCAGCAAATGACAAAGTTTGTGGTATGTGTGATTTTTAATCATTGTATTTACAGATCTGATTTAAAAATAGCTAGAAAGTTCCTTTTGTGAAACTCACAAGTAAAAAGTATAGAATGGGAAGCTGAGAGTCCCAGAATAATAAGAGTGTCATTTAGAACAGTGAAACGGAAAGTGAACATGTCGGTAATACAGCGTTATGCACAAACAAATGATAAAGATGCATCAGTTAAGGAAGAATTTTACATGCAGCTTCAAAATATTATAAATAATGAAAGAAAGGGCAATATAAAAATTTTGATGGGTGACTTGAATGCTAAGATGGTATCAGATAACACAGGTTATGAAGAGATTGTGGAAAACATGGTCTGGGAGTAATGAACGAAAATATAATTATTCAAAAAAATTGTGTGCAGAAACCAGAATGTTATTGGTGGAAGTATTTTTACCCATAAAAGAATACATAAGGCAGCATGGGAATCACTAGACCATAAGACAAACAATCAAATTGATCACCTATGTATCAACAAAAAGTTTAGATCATCCCTTTATGATGTTAGGGCTTTCAGAGATGTTGATATATTTACTGACAATTATCTGTTGGTAAGTAAAATCAAGTTGAAACTTAAAAAATACATAACATCTAATAATCAAAGAAACCAGTATAATGTAGGTTATCTTAGGGATAAAGAAGTTAAGGAACAATTAATTGGATATCAACTGTGAGATACCATTTAAAGAGGAAATTAGAAACGCTTTCAATCTTCTCAAAGAAGAAAAAGCAGGAGGTCCAGATGGTATCTCAGCAGAAGCTATTAGGGCCAAAATAAATTGAAGCTATTAGGGCCAAACCTATTGATGAAACTGAAGCAGCCCTTTGGTGGACAGCGACAGTTAATAAAAGTTTTAATTTAATGTCATCTTAGACATTTTCAAAAAAATAATATTTGTTTCATTTCTCTTTCTGCATTTTTTTTTCTCTCAGGAAAAGCAACCCTGCTCAACTTACTTCAGTCTACTAAAAATTCTCTGTGTGGATGATGTGATGATTCTAGAAAGATCTTTATCATATCTTGAAGAATGTAAACAGAGCAGTGATGCAGCAGTGTTGTGATGAAGATAATTATGAAATGAGAAGATTCATTTACTTTTTTCCCTACCTCAGGCAGCTGTGGCTTTTACTGAAAGGCAACAGATTAGATGATATGATTACATGGTTTACTCATCAGATGAGATTTGACCGTCTGATGAGAACGCCCTGGTACTGCCACATTATATGCCTACCCTGCATACAAAGACTGGATTTGGCAGATTGTGCGGATGAAACCTCTTTTTTGGTTCAACGGACAAGATTACCAGCAGGCTTTGTGGAGAGCTTTGAGCAAGATAGGACACTTAAGAGGCCTTGGTCATCTACTGCACCTGGGTCCATTTCCAATTGTCCTGCCATTGGATCAAGATGGACACAGGCGAGAGAGTGGGGTCAACGAATTGTGCAAGTCTTCCTCACTTAAATCCAAGTCCTTGCGTTAGTCACTTTCATCCAGTTATCATCTAATTGAGGCCAGTATCCAGCACCTCATGAATAGATTTTCTGATGCTTGTACCAACTTCAGGCTAACTATCAAAACTGCTGTTATCTATCAACTGGCTCCCAGCAAAAATTACCGTGATCCCACTATCACCATAAAGATTCAAAAACTAAATGCAGTCGACAGATTCACTTATCTTGGCAGTACTCTGTCTCAAAAATTCAACATTCATGATGAGATCAACGCAAGAATCTCAGAGGCCAGCAGCAGTTTCAGCAGACTTTATACCAGTGTCTGGAACAGAAATGGTATCTCCCTGCTGACCAAGCTAAAGGTTTACAAAGCTGTAATTATCCATTACTGGTCTACGCTTGTGAAACCTAGATTGTGTATCAGCGCCATGCTAAAAAGTTGAACCAATTTTATGTAACGTCTCAGAAAGCTGCTTAAAATCAAATGGCAAGGTAAGATCCAAAATACTCTGGTTCTTGATAGGGCAAACCTGCCTAACATCCACACAATACTGAAGAATTATCAGTTGCATTGTGCTGGTCACCTAACTCACATACCAGACTATTGCCTCCCAAAGACAGTATTTTGTTGGGAGCTCTAGCAAAGGAATAGGTCCCAGAGAGGACAGAAAAAAGCAATATAAAGACACTCAAAACTGCTCTCAATTCTTTTGGCATCAACATAGCGACATGGAAGGCTGCTGTACAAGACAGTTCTGGATGGCGTACATCCCTCAGGCATGGTGCATCAGCCTGCCAGGCAGCGGAGGTTGCAGAGAAACAGAGGCAGACTAGAAAGAACCATATTGCTAATCCTACACTTGCTGCAACTTCCACCTGTCGTCCGCACTGCTCAAGAACTTTCCAGGCTCATATTGGACTAATTAGCCACCTGCGTACTCATAATCATTGATCTACTACTTTGGATGAAAGTGGTCTTCATCACCCGTGATGGACCAATAACTGCCACATTGAAGAAATACAATTAACACAGAACTAGGAGAAGACCACACAAAATATGAAATGATGGCATCAAGCCTTAGCCTTAGAGAAATGCAGACCAGCATAAATATGCAGTAGATAGGTGATCCTTACATCTCCACCCAACACGTTGATGAGATAGCTAGTGAAATAGAAGAAGTTGCTAAATAATTTGATCAGAAGGAGTAAGAGACACCATTAGACAGCAAGAGTTTAGCTAACAATTTAGATAAGAACCGCCATTATGTAGCCATGCTCACCTGTAGATCCAAAGGTCATGGGTTCAAATCTGCAGTGCCGGATTTTTTTTTTCAAGCATATCCTTGGCTCTGAAGTCGACCCAGCCTTAAATGAGTACCAGGTGAAGTTCTGGGAAGTAAAGGTGGCCAGCATGATATTGACAACACATATCGAGAGAAATGTGAGTCTAGCCTTTTAAACCCGATGTGCCTCTGGAGTGTAAAGGGACCTTTAATGTTTAACAATTAGACAGAATGGGTTCGTATAAATATAAAGTTCAGAGCCAGCAAAGAAGTTACATTTGTAGCACCTGTGATGACTATACCAGTCAGGTGTAACCTCCAGTCCAGTGCCGGTAAGGATGCAGCTTACTCAAATAATACTGCAAGTTACGACCTGAGGTAGTAGTTCTGGGTATCCAAATTATAACATTCTGGAAGTTGAATGGGGTTTTTGTATTTTGCTGTGTTGGTTTGCCATCTAGGATATGAGACTGTTGAAGTTGTGTTGTTGGTCAAACCTTCAGGTAACCACCTGAATGGGGAAAAAAATGGTCAGATGTCAGTAGTGCAAACCAAATTATCTATTTAAATAATGTGGACAGAAACAATTTATTGCCTGGCATATTTCGACTGTGTCTCACCGGGTGTATTACTACAGAGTTACATCAACATATAATGAAGCGCAAAAATCTGAAATCATTCCATTGAAATACAGATCACATGGTTTGTCTACTCGCCCAAAGTTCACGATAGTCACAACTATTACCTGGGTAATTTCAAATTTATAACAAACTTTTTCTTGTTCAGACCTAAAGAGTTTGTTATAAATTTAAAGTAATGCACAAGGTGAGGTACAGTGAAAAAGGTGTGGCAATAAATTGTGCAATGTATTGTTAGTGTCCGTAAGTGGAAAAAGAGTATTTTGAAAATTGTATGTGAGTGACGGACCAGTTTTGGAGGTGATTTTGATTAAAGAACTGTTTTCTGTGTGTGTTTTTTTTTTTTTTCATATTAAAACTACCGTCCTTTTCCACACTGCTATGACCTTTATTTGAAGAACTAATGAAACAAAGTCAGAGCAGTTGGAAAGTACTCAGAAAACTGACTGAGTCAGGGCAGTTAGAAAGTACTAGAAAACAGTATAAATTAGAGAAGTTGGAAAATACTGGGAAAACAGATGAAAATTTCATACCAGAGACAGCATTGAAGATATAGGTAATCTATTTCAAGCAAACAAATGAAGAAGAAAAAGATGAAAGTAGTTGACATGAAATAGTAGCCTCAGAATATCCGTGGACATGGATATCTCAGTAACATAAAGTAAATGAAAGTGAAACTGAGAAAAGCATGATATGAAAGTCATAGCAGGAAACCACAGCACAATGACAGTCAGTTTGACTTGAGAAGCAGATGTGAAAAGCAGTTAGAATGTACGAGTGTGAAAGCGATGACATTTTGTGTATGGTGAAGATGAACAGCGATTAGAATGATAGCATAAAAGTGAAGCATGAAGGCTACCAGTGTATACATCTAACATAATAGTATCATCATCATCTAGTGTAAGAGGGGCGGCTGGCCGAACGATTAAGAACACAGGGCTGTCATGTGGGAGACCCAGATTAAAAACCTCGGTTAGGTTTGGATTTTTTTCTGTCAGAGTTAGAAGAAAAAATCTAACCTGCACAGTTCATGGTGACAGCGCTAGACATGCTGTTTTAATTCCTCAGGTTTAAAGACCGCACACATAACAAAAGTGGTAAATAAAGGCAGTAATGGCAGTTTTTAGTGGGAGAAGGTTGAAACCTTGGAAGATGTACTGCAACCAAGAGTATGCATGAATGATTGCTTAGTACAAGAAGGTTGTCTTTTAGCCACTGTAAAAGTTACTGAGAGACTGGGAATCAGATCGGCAGTCTGTGAGAGATATAAAACCGCTTAAAAAGTAGATCAGTGAGCTTCACAATTTAACAAACACAATCAGAACGTGAATGTTGCAGCTATAGAGCCTTCATCAGCACATACATAAATCAAACAAAACTACACAAATATATAAAATCACTTAACTGACTAAGTCATCTCGTGTGAAACTGAGGTGCCAGACTGTGAGATGACAATGACTGAGAGCTTGTGTTGATTCCTTTGTGTAATTGGATTTAATACAACTAATGAGCCAATCAAGAGTTGGATCCTTTCTTAGATAAGCTGTACGGAATGAGAGGTTGTGCGTGATGTCCACTCGTAGACTGAGAGGGTTGTGTGTGTGATATCCACTGGTAGACGTAGAGGGTTGTGTGTGTGATATCCACTGGTAGACGTAGAGGGTTGTGTATGTGATGTCCACTGGTAGACGTAGAGGGTTGTGTGTGTGATATCCACTGGTAGACTTAGAGGGTTGTGTGTGATGTCCACTCACAGACTGAGGTGTCAGGGCAATCAGTACCAGCACTGAAATAGCTCCTTGCCGATCTCAAGCACAGAGTGATCGATCCACAGCTTGAGATATTTTGGATGTACATTTCTAGCCCCAATCAAGAAAGAAAAGGAAAAAAACCAACTTTACCAAATTCAATTTCCCACACTGCCAACAAGCCTTAAGAATGATGCTATATTTTTTTATTCACATTTTTAACGATCCTGAGTACATTCTTGGCTTGAAGCAACAAGGGCATGTCAATCATCTGTCCGCGGAAAGTAAAAGCTCCCTGAAAACAAAATAAGTACAAATGTTGTTATTGCTGATATATATATATATGGGTTTTCAACAACAACAAAACAAGTGCCTTATTGCTGTTAATATGCATGCTCGTGTTAATTATTCTGCAGTTCTCTTGCTGCTTTTTCCCTCTTTCTCTGCACCCATCTACTGTTGTTGCTTTTCCTTCCACTTCCTGTTATTTTGCTTTTTCATGTCCTGCTGCTGCTACTTCTTTCTCTTCATCTGCATTCTTTTACTGCTGCTTTTTATCTTCCCTTTGAGTATAACTTCTAGTTTGGCTTTTTCCTTCACCTTTTATTTCTGTTGCTGCTTCTATTTCTTCCTCCTGCTTCTGTTACCTTTCCCTCCAATTTGTTCGTCTACTATTACTCTTCAGGGAGCTTCCATGGTCTAGCAGCTAGACGCTCGCCTGCGGATCGGATTGTCATGGGTTCGGTTCCTGACGAGGGACAGACTTTTTCCCCAAAAAATGACTATGGCATCAAGGTCGACCCAGCCTGAGCTGGTACCAGGTACAGTCCTGGGAAGTTAAGGTGGCCGGCATAATGCTGACCACATCACCCACCGAGTGCCGTTTAGTCTATAAAATATAGGTCTAGTCCTATATACCCAATATGCCAGAAGGCGTGGAAAGGGGTCCTTTACTTTTACACTTTTACTTACTCAACTCTTCCTTTACCACCACCGTCTGTGTATACTTCTTTTTATTTTTTATCCTATTTCTGTGTCCTTTCCTTCTATATCATGTGTTTCTTCCTCTTTTTATTGAAATAAAAAAAAAAGGAGGAAATCAGGAGAAAAAGGTGAAAACAATGTGAAAGAAGAATGACATGGCATGATTCTTCACTAGCAGTCAGTTTCAAATTAAATCACATGTGCATTACCTTCCCAGTCTTCTGATGTTCTTCAAAGCCCTTGACCAGTTCTGTTGCCCACTCTATCCTAGCCTGACTGGGTGTGAAGGCAGCCTCAACTATAGGCAGCTGGCCTGGGTGGATTACTTGTTTACCAGTGTAGCCCAGTCGAGCTCCTTCTTCTGATTGTACCCGAAGACTTTCATGATCTATTGTGGTTAAATAAGTTTGGTGCTTTAGTAACATTTTGGGAATACTATTATACAACAGTGAATGTTGGAGACTGAGAAGAAGGAGTCAAAGACAATGAACTATCTGTTAGAAATGGGTATTGAATGAGGATAAGCATGCAGAAACCAGTTGTGGGGCAAAGACAGAAGATATGCCAATGAACTCCTACTGGGTACATTGAGCATGAAGACACAGATGACTGCTGCATCAGATGACTTAGCATGAATTGGTCGGAGCAATCTGCTAGGATGTCAATATGACACGTCACTGAGGTACAAGGTGGAAGAGAAGAACAACAACAACGTATAAAAAGTGAATGTTGGAGAATGATATTGGAAATCACACAAAAACTATACTTTTCAAAATAAATTTGACTGGCAATGTTATCACAGGAAGATGATGGAGATGGCTTTGAAGTGTTTGCAGAATGCCTTATGATGCTCTGACAAGGACAGTCCACCAGTAGATGGTAGATGGGAAAAGGCAACATGGATGATCTAAGGATACCTGGAGAAATGACAGTATAAATGGAAATCAAGGAATGTAAAAAAAGCAACAGGCTGGCAGCAGTGGGGGTTACTTGTGTGAATGGAAACAAGAAGAAGAAGATACAGATAAATGTAGAGCTTTAAATATACTAAGATGTGCTAATAATTTAAAAATTGAAAAAAACCAGAAAAATGTAAGTGGAAAGCATCTCACTTAATGAATACTGATCTATGCATTGTTCTATCAATACTGAACTATGCATTGTTCTTTCTTAATGAATCTTTGTCACCGAGTTGAGAAAGATTTATTCAGAGCTATACCGTCAGTAAGCAATCCAGATGTTTTGAAAGAGGCCAAAAACCTATCACAAATATCTGAAAGTTATAAGAAGAAACTGGAACATGATGTGACAACGGGAGAGAATTGTGGAAAGTGAGATAGAGGAAGAAGAGAGAAGATTCTTGACAGCTTTTTAACCTATCATGAGACGTGTCAGCACATGAACTGTTGTGGAGAAGCAAGATTCCCCATGCCAGTCATCAATGCACTTGATGATGATGTAGTCAATCCTAATGTATGGGAGTGAATTGTGGACAGACAGCTGACTAATGAAAAAGTATGTAGAAGCAGCAGAGATGTGGTTTGTATATTAATGATGAGATCACCATGGGCAGATACAAAGCATAACAACGTCTTGAATATGATTAACTAATGAAGGGAACCATTTCCCTGCATCACAAAAAGAAAAAGAAAATCTAAAGCAGAGGGAGAAAAAGAAAGAAGACAGATGACAGTATGGAATCATGGCTATATGAGAAACTATCAACAAGACAGAAGGCTGTGGATAGACATAATTACAAATAGCACAGGGCATGGATTATAAGAAGACACTGAAAGCTGATACAATTGGGCACCAAACAGTAATAAGCGATGACTTTGTCCATATATCAAACAAAAGAGAAGTCTGGAGTCATGATTACCAGTCTGCTTCAGACATACATCCAAAGAAAATGAGACAAGTTAGCAGATAGATAGATCAGAGACAGACAAGCAGACAGATAGTCAGACAGACAGCATCAATTGCTGGCTACTTAAGATGTGTTGACATGACTGTCCTGAGTGCTATGGTGTCGATTCATAAAAAGGATAGATAGGTAAAGAAATACTAACCATGGATATCCACAGAGACCATGTCAATTGCTTGCAGTCTGTATGCCTTAGCAATCATGACAATCTTCTGCCGGGCATAAATCACTTCTTTAGCATCAGAGGTCCTTTCTGCTCCTGAAATTAACAGTGGTAAATACACCAAAATGACCCCTTTCTACCTTATGATTATAACTGACATATATAGAGTTGGTTGCTTCTCAGCTAATGAATGGGTTTTTGTTTATGCAAACATAACCTTTGGCTATTTCATACCGTATGCAACACTGTACGGAGGAGCGGCTGGCAGACCATTTAAGAATGCAAGGCTCTCATTCAGGAGACCTAAGTTCAAATCAAGAGTATGGCTAAGGGTTTTTCTATCAGGGTAAAAATAAAATTCAAACCTGCAAAGTCAGTGGCAACAGCACTAGCCATAAATCCTTGCGCTCAAATCCCCCCCCCCCCCCTTTTTTTTTCACAAAAGTGGTAAATACAGACTGTAATGGCAGTTCTCATCCTGTTGTGATTTTGTACATCATACAGGGCTCCTAGTTTATTCTTCCAATCAATTCTATCCTGTGCAATTGTTTGAATATCATGGACTGAATCCAGTCCATCAGCTTTGGCCTCTTTCATCAAATTCATTTTAATGTTTTCTCTTGGAAATCCTTATTTCTTACAATCCATCTGTTTCTCATTTCAGTGCCTGTCTGGTGATTCTGTCCGCTTCTTCTCAGGATATGCCCAATATATCACCACCTTCTATGTCTTCTATTGCTTTTAAGTAACTAATATTCACATTGCACTGGCTGTTTATGGCTATATTTAAAAACTGTTAATAACTGACTAGAAGTATTAGTATTTGACTTGAAAATATGAATCCTTAAGACCAGTGGTTCCCAATTAGCTAGGAGCTGCAGACCCCTCTTATGTTCATATGTCTGCGACATACCCTATAGTTTTTAATAGACTTACTAAAGAACTTATCATACTGTATTTTTCCATGTAAAAGTTCATAATTGGGGATTGTCTTATACATGGAATAGTTTCAAATATTTTTTTCTTTATTTTGATCTTTAAAAAAAAAAATTTTTTTTAAATTAAGAGTCATTATAAACATGGAAATATTCAGCAATTTATAAATATTAGAGTCATGAGAAGGACCGCATTTTTAAATTAGTTTTCTTTTTTTTTTTTTATGATATAACCAATCCCTCAAGTTTGTTCTATGGTCCCCACCAAATAAGGAACACTGCCTTGGCAATATTTGCTCATGAATCTAACGAATAATAGTAAAGAGGAAAACAATCTATTAAAGTAATCATCATCATCATGTAACAAGATCTGAGTAGAATATTGCTCTCTTTACAACCTGCCATAAAGATTCATGAGCCTTTGCCAATTTTCCCTGGCTTGTTTGTTTAATGTTTAATTAAAAATCAATATTTGGGACATTCCCATACCTGCTCCAGGCCCATCTTCCTCAGCAAGTGCAGAGTTCCAATTCCTATGGTGCCAGTAACAGTCTGATTGTATATCTGTCTCACCATTTTCCTTGAGTGTTAAACGTGGACCAGATCCCCATGGTCACCTGACTTATAAATGTCCTAGCTGGGGTTATACTGAAATGTGTAGTGGATCTAGACAAATCAGTGAATGATGAGTTCAGCAACATCATCATATTTCATACATAGGCTGTCATGTTTCGCCATCCAACATGATCATTATAATCAGAGATCAGGCCAGTGTTCTTGCCATACCAATGCGGGGCCAAGCCATATTTATCTCTTTGTCTTCCTCTTGCTCTCTTTCCATTAATCTTGCCAGTTCCTGTGTGGGTTCCGGGGCCCCATTATGGGGAAAACAAGAATAGACCCACCGCCTACCCAAAAGCATGTCATGAGAGTCAAATAATTGGGAGCTTTTTTCAAAGTCAGAGTTCATCTGCCTGATAGGCACAGAACTAACAGTTTGCATGCAGATGAGTCATATCTGTGAAATGGATGTGCACACAACACAGAATAACCAGAACCTTCTGCTGGAGTTTACAGCTGATGAATGCGAAGAAGAAGAATCTTGCCTTTTGTTACCATGTTCTTAAGTCCATAGTTTACAAGAGAAGGACTGCCCCATTTAATTTCCTATCATTCCATAATATTCTTTGCATTCTTCTCAAAAACCACATCTCTGCTGCAAGTAAATGTGTTTTTTAGCCTGTCAGCTTACTCTCCATTGTGAGTTAATGGTATAAATAAGTACAGTCGAGTCCACTTAAGTCGAACTTGGACAAGTCGAATTTAGGTTAAGTCGACATGATCAGCTTAGTCCCTGCAATTTTCTCTATTGTGTGTGTTATATGGATAGAAATCCTGATAAGTGGAAGCATTTTCTTAGGTCCCTGCAACTTCTAATTATCCAGACTCGACTGTAGTAAGTTTGAGACAATGGAAAACATGCTGGGGATAAATAGCTCTAAAAAACTACAGGATATGATTAAATATACAAACAAAGGTTTAAATATGAGCTGTTAAAATACCACAAAACAGAATAATGATATCCTAGATCAGTTCAGATATTCCCAAAGATAGAGTACACAATACGATTATCACAATCATTCTACACCAACATGGATGGACATTATCCAGGACTACCCACCAAGCAATGGATTGCAAACTGTTCCTTCCCGATGAGGCCTAAGGGCAAAAGTGGAAACGTGATGACGATGACAGTAATGATTATCATAATTATTTTAAAAATACACTAAAAATATATCAACCCTAATATCTTTACTCCTACAAACTGTTAGAATTAATACATAATCTGTGTAGTATTAAATAACTAACAGTAATCGACAAGCATAAATATCCAATACCTAGGCAGAAGAAAAACTCTATATATCTCAATTAAAACCCAGATGGGCTGAACGGGATTTCATTTAAATTTGTACTGCTATATGGTATAAAATGAGTTAACCATATAAATACTTCTCTCTATAACTTCCTCACCTATATCAGCTAGAAAGTCATCAGAGCCGAAGATGACCCCATCCAGTTGGTAGACTCCATCTTTTGAAAAATCCCTGGCTTTACTCAAGATGTCATTCATGTTAATGAGACCTTGAGCACTCTCTACATAGGTCAGGAGGTAAGGCCTGTAATCTCGACCAAATTTCAATGACTGCAGCCTCTCTGTGAACTAAGTTTGTCAAAATATTACAGCAATCAGGTAATCACAATTCCAACTTCACAGCAAACAGGTCACCCCATAGTTGCTCTGTTCCTGTACCAATGAAAACCATACAGAATATCTCTTGTAGAGAAATGTACACAGACTGCAGTCTCAGCATATCCAACAGCAAACACATGCAATAATGCATATGGCAGCTGTCATATGAATTTACAGTTCTCAACACATACCATGTTGGACACAGTCACAAAAGCATTCTGAATTAATCCGCAGCTCACAATGTCGGGCCATGCACTCAGTAGCTGGCAACGAAACTATAACATTTCAGTCTACTTATGGAGGAATATGCAAGAGCCAACTATTGTCAGAAGCAAAAACTTTCCATGACTAAAAAAACAGTAAACCTGACTGGAAGTCCCAAAGTACTTGAGGTCAATTTTTTCACACAAAATGTCAGGAAAACACCAACTATCTAGGTCTACTTTTTAAAATCAGTTTACAGCTTTTAACTGTCTCAAGGAGGACTGCCTCATCTGTGTGAAATCATGACTATTGTTAACATCTTGAAGAAGGCAATTTTCTATTGTGTTCTATTCTGATCAGTGGCTTAACTGACTATGACATATACAGAAATCCCTTTCCTTAGTGGAGACTGTAACTTGACTCTGCGCACCAAAAAAATTGACAAAACAAAATACTCACAACAATGATATCATCCACAGTGTCAACTTTCGGAAGAAGAATGGTTTTAGGCAATCTGGTCACAGCTGCAAGTGAACCAAGGTCATGGCCGATGACTGCTCCAAGGTCAGCCTCCATCAGGCCACTGGATCTGGAGTTGACCCTGAAGGCCAGGTCGATATTATGAACCTCTAAATAGTCCAAGGCTTCTCTGATGTTTTTTCTTGCTTCAGCCTGAAAGTATATATGCAAAGAAAATCATGTTAGTTCATGATATAGAAGACCTTGGATAGACAAGAAGGCCAATACAGTATACAGCATGGACTATTTGAAAAAAGCCTGGTTAACAAATAACATTACAAAATATTATTCTGGATTAGAAAACAGGACAGCTGTTATTATATAGTTATGTATAATATAATAAAAGACTGCGATTACACTGGAACCCACAGGGACAAAGAAGTAAAAGCAGACCCCGAAAAAAATGTAGAGAAGGGATCTAAAAAGTAAAGTTAAACTATAGGGAGGACATGGGATGAGCTGCATATGACAAGAAAGGCTAGGACAACTCAGTGTGAGTTGGTTGGTGGCCTACATACCACCGGGGGATAGAGGTCAGAAGAAGAAAAATAATATAAGAATATTTTGCAATAAGAGGGCTAATAGACTGCAATGGTTGCAGCATATAAGAGAGAATGCAGATAAGAAGATAGACAAATGATGGGTACACATAAGCGCTGAATGGGAGTAAACCACAAGGCTAACCAAGAAGAGGCTGGAGATGAGATATAATATACTGTGTTCTATTACATCTATCAGCAGAAAAATTCAGGGTATCCATAAATTTTTATCTGGTGTCCCAATTCACAATTAGTTTTCTTAGCCTATTCAGTATGAGAAATGGGGAGTGGAACAGGGAAAATGGAAGATATGAAACAGAAACAATACCTACCTTGAACACTATGAATAATATCAGACCTACAGAAGTTAAAGGCACACACATTTCAAAACCCTGTAACAGGGAGGAGAAGGAAACTTAAAAAATAGAATATATGATACAAACATAATTCCTACCATCAGCATGTTGAATCATACCACATCTCCCTGTGTGGGTTCCGGGGCCCCAGTGTGGGGAAAATAAGAAGATTATCGTCAGAATAATTTGCTTTCACTCCCTTTGACCAAGACATATGCTTTTGTTAATATAACCACGTCTGACAATGCGATGTCAGCATTCTTTTTTTATTTTATGCACGGATGACATAACACATGCAAAAATAATAAGATTTTTTCACCCCAAATAATTTTTAAAAAATATCTTCTTCTCCTTCTTTGCGTTTGGTTCCATATGCTCAGGTCAGACCATCAGACGGGTTACCTCTATGAACTCGCATGTCAGCTGCAGGTCCTTTATGGTTCCCCATAGCTTGCTCTGCACACGTTGCTTTTGAGGCCATGTTTCTTTTCGAAGTTGTAGGTAGAGTGGAAAGGTCTGCAGAATGTGCTCTGGTGTTTGTGGTCCTAACAGGCACACTATAAGGACTGTACAGTCTTTAATTTATGCATATGATATTGAACCTGCAGTGTCCTGTTCGCAGATGGAAAATGGTTGTATGTTGCTTTCTGTTAAGTCTGCCGATGGGGTCTTGTGGATGTTTACTCTTGATTTGTTCTGTACACAATTCCTTGTATTTTCCCCTAATAAGTGTTTTGGTTTCTGGTAATGACAATGAAAGGGTATGTTGTTTCTCCTTTGTTCCATTTTTTGCAAGTCTGTCCACTAACTCATGTCGCAGTGAGCCGGGATTCACTGAAGAACAATGTGATTGTTTTCTGAGTCTGTTTAGCTAGAAGGTCAGTTCTCTCTCCATGTTGTCTTGTGGATCCCCTGGAGGACTGATATGCAGTCACACACAAAAAAACAATTTTGTGGTTTTTTTATTTTTTCTTTCCTCAAGCACTCTGGTTGCATCAATAATTGCTTGCTGCTCTTTTATGAAGTTTGTTGAGAGTTTTCCCTGAGGCACATTAAGTTTCTATTGTGGTTCTATCTTGCAGCATTATGACCGAACCTGCTCCTCCATTTGTTCCAGCTTTCTCCAATGATCCATTAGTGTATATGTGTGTCCATTCAGGTTTTGGATAGGAATTGTGGACATGTTCAAGGGTCTTTGCATACAGTACTAGGTCACATTCTTCAGCCTTTCTGTCTATGCCTGGGATTGTTGTGACTGTATATTTAGGCTGTAGGTCTATGCTGTATGCCTGGATCATTTCCCATGTTGAAGGGTCTTTAGAAAGGATGTCACTGCTTTTTGTGCAGAACAACTGTGATAGATGGTGAAAGCTTTGTCTTTTTATATGGTTTTTAAAATAGAATCATACCCACCATGTCTGCACAGTATGAAGCTGCAACCAGCACCAAAGCTGTTGTGAGGCACATTGATCACTGACCAAAGGCAACTAACTTGCCATAAAAAATCCAGACAGGCCTAGATATCGGCATTTATGAGGCTTAGGCACACACATCTCTAAGCCCCTCAACTCATTTTTCAATATGGACAAGAAAGAGGAAGAAAAAGAAGAAGCAGAAGACATGAAACAAATACACAATACCAACTTTCATATTAACAGCTACTCCATCCTCACATTCCAAGATGGCACAATCTACTTGAAAACCTGGAATTTTCTTCAGTTTCTTGGTGTCATGGCCAGGCACATACATGAGTGTTCGCCGGGGGATATAAGCTCGATCATGGTCCTCTAACCCATCTGTGGAGATGCTCCTTTTATTCCCACCAGCAAATATTCCAGTGAATGTTTTTAAGATAACATTCTTCTTACAGATTGTAGTATGAGTTTCTTGATCTATAAGGCACCCTGACCTCCACAAATTTGTTGCTGTTAACCTCCGGAAGTTGTTCATATTTTAGCGGAAGCAATACTGTGAATAATGTAAAAGCAAAATAATGTGAAACCTAAATAATGTGAAACTAGAATAATGTGAAAGGGGAATAATAAGAAGTTGAACAAGTAGTTTTAACTCTTTCAGTACCAAGCTGGTGTTACTTGAACTGTTTTGGAACCAGATGGTTCTTAATTCTTTATCTTCTTCTCAGTGTCCACCAGCTGTAAGGCTGGGAGAAAGTTTCAGTTGTTTGTCCACTTCCACACTTTAATTGCAAAGCTTGTTATTGATACATCTGTTTTAAAGATCTGCTCTTCTGTAGGCAGACTGTTGGTTCCTTGCCTCTCATGCAGATGCCTTCCAACTTTAAAGGAAATACCCCTAATCAATGGCTTTTTACAACATACTTGTTTGGGACAGTGGGTCTATTCCCCCTGACAGGAGGTCCTGGTACCCACAAGGGCAGTTCGTAATTCAACTGTGTATCCTAAAGTTTCTGTCCCACAAAGCAAAAATTTTTTTTTTTTTTTTTTTTTTTTTTTTTGACTAACGGAACTGAAAAATACACACTGATCTCATAGTTTTCAGACAATAGTATGAGAGTCACACCATGGAAAAGACTGGGGCTTCACTGTAAAATATTCCCAAAGACAGCAGTGGATGCACTGTAGCCAATTTCCATTGTGCAGATGACCCAGTGAAGATATGATGAGTGACTTCGTACTTAAAGAATTTGCTACTGCAAGTGAAGAGTGGGTGTCAGGAGTTAAATTTATAAAACTACAAGGCAGAAGAAATTAAAGTAAATTAGGTTAATACAGTAACATTCTCAGAATACCATGGATCAAGTAGAAAATAAACACCAATATCTTAAAAGCTCTGAACAGAAAAGCAAGATTGCCTAGTTAATATCTTGTCTGGGACACTAACATTAAAATATTTTGGTCATATCAAGTGCCAAGGTGAATCGGAAAGAATAGTTGCAGAAGGCATAATGCCAGGAAAGAGAGGAAGGAGCCTAGAGTATAGGATATGTGGCCCCTTGAGGAAAGTGCAAGAGTGAGGATAACAAACTGTTGTGGTTTACAGCTAGGCTGCGAGATCTTCACAATTTGGCCCAAAAAAACATAAACATCGGACTTTTTTTAGTAAGTCCTGAACTGGCTATTTACGACATATCAATTTTAGTTGAGAGGAGAAGGTTTAAATTATTATTTAGCTTAAATATTGGGCCATTTAGGGGACGCAAATTATAAATACAAATTATAGGAAGTGGAGGAAAATAACTTCCAAGATCCTGAAATTGGAGAAAAATTTACGTTATTGGAGTTGTATTCACAGACCTTTAGAACTTACAATCACAGCAGACTTTACAAAACTGAACACAGTGCGTTCCCTTGGTTTTAAAAATCATTTTGCCAAAATTAACCAGAAAACAAACATTTTCTAAATATTTAGAATTATTTTTTTTTTTAATTTCCTAAGGCATATTTACTGAATTGTATGTAAACGTGGAACTAAAGATGGTTAAAGTATTTAATTACAGAGTATTATTGTTTAAACGATATTTGTCTTTCGCTATTTAACGCAGCATAGAGAAAACTGTAAAGGCTGGATTTTTACTGTTTATTATTTTTAAGCAGCTTAAAAATGTATGAGTTCTAAAGTTTTAAACAGCTATACCTATAAATGATAGCAAATTAATAAATGCTGCATATTTGTTACCTCTTGTGGTCTTTCCCCGTTATATTTTGAATAGATACATTCGTACCCTGTGTGTTATTTTTAAATCAACAGCATAGTTTGTTCCTAGAAACAATCAATATTTTACACAATCCAGCGTCCATAACAACGACTTGAACAAGTATACCTTAACTTCAGTGATATTCATTTTTGAGATTGCATTGTATTTAACTATACGTTTTATCTTTGAAGTATAACAGCAACAAATAATATTCACTAACGAAACTAATATAAAAACTGCACTTTTAGAGCAGAACCATTCGCACAATTTTTGTGTGTGTGTTTTACGTTCAGTAGTTTGCCATTCCAAGTGAACGGTCAGCTATTGATACCAATTAACATAGTTGAAATAACACAAAGTTTTGTGCTGACAAATCGCTCACAGCTGTAATAGAACTAGTTGTTTCTTCCTCTTTCTCCTGTTCTCTGTGTTCTGCATTCGCTCTTAAAGGGACGCTTTGGCATGCTGTGTTGTGTTTTACAGCTAGGCTGCAATATCTGCCTTTCTTTGGGTGCCCATCTAATTAAAACAGACTTGCTATTGGTCTCATTATTGGGCTATCCTCCGAATAACTGTCCTAAATTATCGAAGCAGAAAATATACCCTAACAGGGCCTCAGTCACCTGTCAATTGCGAACTTCCGGCAACTTCTGCCACCGCCGAGAGTATCCCCCACACCGCTTGAGCGGCTTGGATTGGGGCTAAACTAAATGGCTAGGACTCATGAGCAAATAAAATGAAGGAAGCTGCAGGAGATGTGGTAGCTGCTGCTCGTGAGTCCCAGCCATCTAGTTTAGCCCCAATCCACGCCGCGTGAGGGGCGTGGGGGATACTCTCGGCGGTGGTGGAAGTAGCCGGAAGCGAACAATTTAAGATGACGGAAGTGCGCAATTGACACGTTTTGAACTTACTATTTTTATATAAATTTTTTTTTTTAAGTTCAAGAAACATAGCTTCAAAACACACAATTAAAAACGCCAGAAATAAAATAACAATTGTATACTGTTAGCTTTAAATAGAATTGGAACCAAAATGGTATAGTGGTTAGATAATCACATGCAAATCTGAAGGTCATGGGTTTAAATCTGAACAGAATGAGACTTTTTAAAAAATGACCTTGGCCTTTAGGCCGACCCAGCCTAAAATGGGTACCAGATAAAGTCCTGGGAAGTGAAAGTAGCCGGCATGATGTTGAAGAGATCACCCACCGAATGCTGACTGGTCTATAAATTATAGGTCTAGCACTATAGGCCCAATACACCTGAAGACATGGAGAAGGGTCCTTTATATAGAATCCCAGCATTAGGGTTATATGCATGACAAATTGTTGAAATGTCTTGATGAACAATATCTCCGTGCTCACAGTACTAGATTAATAACAAACTTACAGTGAAAGCAAAATAGCAAGAGTAAGTTTTAGAAAGTGTTTATTACATCCTATGGTAGGTGTCAGACAAGGACGTGTAATATTAAAATCATGTCCCTTTTCAGTATTTATACAGATTATATTTTTAAGGAAAGAGACAACATGGACTCAGCTTTTGTGAAAATTCAAAATATAATTTAAGGTGCACAGACGATACAGCTGTGTTGATAGAAAAAAAGGACAATCTTAAAAAAAATTGTTAACAAAGCATAAACCTAAACTGCCTGTTAATGACCTCATTTGTACTTATTTCTATTCTCTTTTTTTAATGGAGGGAGGGGCCAAAGGGAAGGGTTATAATTTACACATTTATTTTTAGTTCATAGACAACTATAAAAGCTCTGCTTATTTATTTTTCCTTATATTACATTTATCTTTTCAACAGCAAGTAACAATCTGAAGGATGTATTTTCAAGCCAGCAAGAATTCCAACTCAGGTTTCCAGACTGCACTGCTAGATTTTTCCCCGGAAGTGCAAAAACCATATCACTTAGAAAATAAAATGATGCCTCTTAGTTCAGCTGATAGAACAACACCTCCCCAAAATGTTGACCCAGTCATCTTTACCTCCTCATTTGTCCCACAACTTCCTCGACTACCTTTAAAAATCGAGTCACACCTGCCAACAATTTTTGGTCGAGTACCTGAGAAATGTGTGACATTTTGTATTGACACATCTGGCAGCATGTTCTATGCACTGGATCTTGTGAAAGAGCATCTGATTGAAACTCTCTGCATGATGGCAGAACAGAATGACTCTTGTTTATTTAACATGATTGAATTCAACACTGATGTCACAAAATGGTCTAATAAGATGGTCCATTGTACGCCTGAGACTGTAGCAGCAGCTAAACAGTGGGTCCACAATTTAGCAGTAAAGGCAGGTACAAATACACAAAAAGCACTGCTTACGGCTGTGAGTGATCCTGCCTGTCAGGCCGTATACCTGGTCACAGATGATATTCCAGACAACTACAGTGAAGAAGTAGTTTCTAAAATTTTAGATGTTTGCAGCAAGTGTCATTTACACTGCATTTATATTTCAGCTGAGAATATAAACGAAGATGCTGTGGAATTTCTAGAAGATCTTGCTGTAGGAACATGTGGATCAATTCACATTGTTAAGATAACCTCCCATGGGTGTGTAGAAAGAATATCACCAATATATCGATCTGACCATTCACGTGTAAAGTTTGTTCAAGCATTGAAGAACACTTTGCAATCATCTTTAAAAGCTTGCAGCATTGCCACAACTCTTCAGTTCGATCCAGAGAATATGTCTGGGTTATCTTCCTACCCCAAGAGTTCCATTTATCATCCATTAGTCAGTTTGAATACCTTACCAGGTTACTTAGGTCCTTACTACTGGTCCGGAATGCATTCAAGGGATGTGTTACTAGAGAACAGAATATTAAGAAATCCATTACTTAACTTCCAATCAACTGCAGGGAGTTTACTTGCAGGCAAGAGAGTACTTGCTCGAAGAAAGCAAGATGGATACTTCTACAGAGCAACTGTGAAAAATCAGGTATCATTGCATGAAGTGCTTTTTTAAACATATTTTTTGTTTTATTTTGTAAGAATATAAACATTCTGTAGAAAACAGTATAACATAAAAATTGACTAAACATCAGGTATAATTGTTTGCAGAGCTATATCTGTATAGTAAGTTATGTTAGTTGGTTATCCTTTACAGAACATTGCAGAACTAACCCCAACATTGTTTGGCTGTTGTGGTTTTACTAGGCACATTTTATGTTCAGTAGTTTGCCATTGCATCTCAACGGTCAGCTCTCTGTAACACTGTCAAAACCAACACAAGACAAACTGTCCACAGCTGTAATATTT